CTATTTTTATTGTATTTCTGATTTTATTTTTGAAGGGAAAATGTGGTATATGACGTAAGCATGATGCCATGCTGTCGTCACGCTGCAGACCAGAGCAGAGCACGGCATTCGGCGCGGCACAGCTGCGCGCACGCACGCACGCACGGAGGCAGCCTCTAAACGGCCGACGGATAGCTGTCGGCTTCTGAGTAGCCGATAGGACTAGTCGGCCCGTGGAAGGCCGACAGGGCGCACCGCTGCGAGCAGAGCGGACAGGGGCGACCGGCCTGGTGCCGTGCTTAGCTGTGTTTTAGTAGCCTCAGAAGCTGCAAGGCAGGTTGTTTTTTTTTTTTTTTGTATGGCTCTGTACCTTCTTGTTTGCTGGTATCCCCAGCCTGGTTGTGTGCCTTTTACATTGCTTTATAAAAGCAGTGTTTTTCTCCGTAAAAAAAATGTACAAATACTAATACTACTATTTTCTATAGACATAATCAAATTTAGAATTGTCAGACTAATTGAGGAGCTTGACTTATATTTTTTTTGGACGGCAGGAGCATCATTTGACTAGATTCCTAGAGAAGCTAGCTTGTCCAAAATCTCCAATAGAACCAAAGGGCAGCTCTCGACGAGATGACAGAACCCACTGGTCTGCACGACAGCACCAAGCATGCCCCGCGAAGCTATGAATCCAAGACACGCATTCTTGAGCTGCATGCAGCGGCGCTGCTCGGCTCAAGCCAGAGTAGTCGCCACCGTGTCCGCGTCGATGCTACGGCACATCCCCACCTCGCACATGAGCCTCAGCCTGTCCAGCCCACACCGATCCGCGGCCACCAGCAGGTGCTGCATCGGCACATTCCTGTCCTTGTCGTCGTCCGTGGCAACGCCACCGTCACCGTCCGGCAGAGTGTCCGTGTACACGAAGTGAAGCGGCGCCTCGAAGATGGAAGGCTCCATGTCGTCGACCTTGACGCGCGTTGCGGCCTTCTCCTTCATGGGGCCGAAGAGCTCCGCCCTGATCACCGCGGACCTCGCGGCGAGCACGCACCGGTGTGCCGGGAACGACCGCCCGCCTACAACGAACGTCACGTCCGCGCCGTCCCCGCCCCTGAGCATGCTCGCCAGGTCCTGCAGCACGCTGGGCTCCGAGACGGCGATGGCGCTCACGTCCTCGACATGGGGGGTCTTGGATGACGGTCAGGACGCACCTGACCGTGAAGCGGTCGTTGTTGTTGCGCACCATCCTTCGGAAGAGGCAGGATTTATATATGAATGTGGGCCAGCCCCTGCCTCCTAATGCAAGGGCCTTTGATAAGATAATTTTATTGCAATGTATTTGTGTATCTTATTATATACTATGCCATGTTAAAAAAATATTGTTAAATTTATTTATGTAATTATGAACACTTTAAACCATGCGCAATATTACTCCAGATCTAAGATAGACAACTATGCTCTGCACTTTAATCCTTTTTCGCTACGGGCACTTAACACTGTTAAGTGGCAGAAATAGACGGAACGCCATACAGCCAGATTCGTTTTCGGGCCTTTATAGGGGGTGCTTGGGACTATTTCGCTCCAGCTCCGTGTTGCCAAACACCCCCAGCTCCGAGAACTCCGCTCAAAAAAAGGTGGAGCTAGAGGCTAACTCCACGTTTTTTCCGTGGTACGTCAAGAGGTACTCCAGTTATTGGAGCTTTGTACTCTCACATGAAGTTATAGGATAATTACCCACCTTGCCACTCGTTAATCACCGATTAGTTTCCCTGATTGCGTCCCCTACCCGTACGCGTGAAGGCCGCGAGCCACGACTCTTCCGTAGATACGCAAATAGGAGGCTACTGCTCCCGTTTTCATCCACGTACAAAGCAATTGGTACTTGGAAACCGATCAAAAAGTCATAAAAAAATAAAAAATATAAGGAAAAATATTAAGAATCCTTGGAAAAAGTAATAATCATTAATAAATCAGCAAACGAATCCCCATAATCTTTAAACTTTAAAAATTAATTAAACTATTGTAAGACCATTTAAAAGTTAAAAACCAGAACTACTAAGTGCAATTTCAATCGGGGGCATAATGGGCCATTTGCATGCAAATAACCTATTTCCGGAGCTAGAGCTAGGCTGTGTACCACCTGCTCCACAAACTCCATGTTTGAGTTGCTCCATGATGGAGTAGCCGATAGGACTACCAGTCGGCCCGTGGAAGGCCGACAGCGCACCAGACATGAGACCGGAAGGTGCGGTGTCCGCCCGTGTTCTCTGGCGAGGGAGGAGGGGCGAAAGCGGCCTGGTGCCGTGCTTGGCTGCTGCTGCTCGGACAGGGTGCGCTGCTCGCACGGGGCAAGCGCCGCTTTCAGATAAGCACGCCGGTGCACAGGCACTGAATTTGATAGCGCCGCTTCTTCCCCCATCGATCAAGCCCGTGCTGCCGCGACGTAAAAGACCGATGCCTCGACAGCGACGCACAAACACGAGAGAGAAGGGCGACACAACGGCACTTGGAAGCTCCTCTCCGGCAAGGAGTCGCGCGTACGGCAGAAGTGAAGCCTCTCGATCACGCACGGCTCCATGTCCTCGACCGGGCGCACCCGTGGCGCTCTCCTCCATGGCACCGAAGAGCTGCGCCCTAAACACCACGGACCGCTGGCGAAACACGTACACAATAGGCGAGGAAGAACCGGTCGCCGATCTTGATCGTCACGTCGGCGGCCTCCGGCATCGCGCTGAAGTCCCGGTGCAGGTCCGACGGCGGAGCGCGCTTCGCCACGGTCGCCGCGTCTTGGTGCGATGATTCACAGCGGTGACGGCGCACGGATTGTGAAGCCGTCGGCGGCTCTCTTTTAAGCTTGGATTTCCCGATGAAATTACGCTTTGCCCCTGTTGTTATGGTGCTCGTGTCCGTGTCATAGGTTCTTGTGTCCGTGAAGACGGTTCTTGCGATTAACCTTTCGCTGTTTATTTCCTTGTCCTGCTGATCTGTTTTCTTCCTCTTCTTCCTTTTCCCTTTCTTCCCCGGCAACGGCGCTTGACTGTCTTTATCGACCAGCCCGAGGCTTATCTTGAACTTAACCCTCACACCCGTTGGTCCGTCAAGAAGACTCAAACTCACCGTCGTATAAGCGGCAGCTTCGTCGTCCTTTGGACAACCGTCGCCGCCGGGGAAGAACTTGATGCTCCATCCGTAGCCGCCGACGAAGAAGGTGCCCGAGCCGACGTAGTCGCCGGGCGTCCATGTCATCGGCGTGGCGAGAAGTCGGTCACCACGGTTGTGCGTCCCGTGATGGCTTTGTGTCCGGCATGTCGACCACGTTTCCGGTAACACGGTGGTACATCAACCAATGTCGAATTACTAGGCTGTAATTAGCCATGGCAGCGCATACGATTTTTTCAGCTAAACCTTCAACACACACGCCGTTCATGGTGGTGGTGGTCGATGTCCTCTTATATACCGCAAATTCGGAAAACTACTATTATACCTGAACTAGGACTCCGAGACCTCTCTGGAATCTGGGTAAAGAATCGAGTCGTTACGGACATGCATGTTAAGCTGTTGACCAACCAACGAAAATATGGAGAATTGTAACAGGACATGTTAATTTTGGGTTCTGATGATGATAACCGTCCATGGTGGAACATGCACCGCCGTCTTTGGAGATTACCAAACGATAATGCTTGGCCACGGGCGTCCGCCCCATCCGGACGCCGTGCGCCTCGATCCGCCTCATTGCTTTCTCCCACGGGCCTAGGGCGGACACTCCGTGCACAAACCTTACCGATTACCAAAACCAAAAATTTAAAATTACAAAGCAACCGCTTGCTTGGCCAGATATTACATCAACTAGATATATGCCTGTGCGTTGCACCGGGATCACATTTTTGTTTGGATTGAACCTCAGTAATCGGACACGGATGCGTGAGATCTAAGAACTTCGTATCAGACGTGGACACGTTGATCCGATCTTCGTAGTAGAACCGGGTAGGACGCGAACATGCGAGCTTCGAGTGCAGGTTGATTCATATTGGATGGGGACGCGTAAGCAGGACTCAAAACTTGGTATGGCTGGGTATACGATGACGTTACAGTATGCTTAGGTGTAGGGATTCATTGAACTTTTATTAAGTTGGTATATTTTAAATCTCTTAGTTTTAAATGGCGAGATCAGAAAATCTAATCGTCTTTCCAGGTGCTCAAAAGGGTAGAACACGTGTGCGTGTGTTCGTAGAGATGGGTGTACGGACATGTATGAGCATCTTGATACGATCATTTTTTGGGCAAGCAATTCGTTATTTCATCGTTGCACGGTTGTATGAGCAACACAATATGGCAGAGTTTATTTGCATGGAATATAAAATACAATAAAAATAGAATATTTTACTTGCCTGGAATATAAAATACAGCTAAAATTATACACAAAGTAACAAAGATATAGGCCTTGAGCTGGCTATCCTACTCACGTGCACCATCGAAGTTCAATGGCTCAGATTTCCTCTATTTTTATTGTATTTCTGATTTTATTTTTGAAGGGAAAATGTGGTATATGACGTAAGCATGATGCCATGCTGTCGTCACGCTGCAGACCAGAGCAGAGCACGGCATTCGGCGCGGCACAGCTGCGCGCACGCACGCGCGGAGGCGGCCTCTAAACGGCCGATGGGTAGCTGTCGGCTCCTGAGTAGCCGATAGGACTAGTCGCCCCGTGGAAGGCCTGGTGCGAGCAGAGCGGACAGGGGCGACCGGCCTGGTGCCGTGCTTAGCTGTGTTTTAGTAGCCTCAGATGCTGCAAGGCAGGGTTTTTTTTTTTTTTTTTGTATGGCTCTGTACCTTCTTGTTTGCTGGTATCCCCAGCCTGGTTGTGTGCCTTTTACATTGCTTTATAAAAGCAGTGTTTTTCTCCGTAAAAAAAATGTACAAATACTAATACTACTATTTTCTATAGACATAATCAAATTTAGAATTGTCAGACTAATTGAGGAGCTTGACTTATATTTTTTTTGGACGGCAGGAGCATCATTTGACTAGATTCCTAGAGAAGCTAGCTTGTCCAAAATCTCCAATAGAACCAAAGGGCAGCTCTCGACGAGATGACAGAACCCACTGGTCTGCACGACAGCACCAAGCATGCCCCGCGAAGCTATGGATCCAAGACAAGCATTCTTGAGCTGCATGCAGCGGTGCTGCTCGGCTAAAGCCAGAGTAGTCGCCACCGTGTCCGCGTCGATGCTACGGCACATCCCCACCTCGCACATGAGCCTCAGCCTGTCCAGCCCATACCGATCCGCGGCCACCAACAGGTGCTGCATCGGCACATTCCTGTCCTTGTCGTCGTCCGTGGCAATGCCACCGTCACCGTCCGGCAGAGTGTCCGTGTACACGGAGTGAAGCGGCGCCTCGAAGATGAAAGGCTCCATGTCGTCGACCTTGACGCGCGTTGCGGCCTTCTCCTTCATGGGGCCGAAGAGCTCCGCCCTGAACACCGCGGACCTCACGGCGAGCTCACACCGGTGTGCCGGGAACGACCGCCCGCCTACGACGAACGTCACGTCCGCGCCGTCCCCGTCCCTGATCATGCTCGCCAGGTCCTGCAGCACGCTGGGCTGCGAGAAGACGATGGCGCTCACGTCCTCGACATGGGGGGTCTTGGATGACGGTCAGGACGCACCTGACCGTGAAGCGGTCGTTGCTGTCGCACAGCTGCGTTCGGAAGAGGGGGCTGGATTTATCTATCAAGGTGCGCCAGCCCCAGCGTGTTAAAGGTGACTTGAAGGTATGCTCCGCGTTTTCCTTCACCCACACTTTGCCATCCTTACCGAAGACGGTGAAGGTGAACATGACCCTCACGCCCTCCTGTCCTCCTCCCTAAGGAGTCTAGAAGGTCTACACTTTATCTTTATGCTCCGACGTGCTCCCGTCTGCGTAGAGCTTGATGTTCCAGTCATAACCGCCAACACGGAAGTTCCTCGAGCTGATGAACTTGCCGACGCCCATGCCTTCAAGCAGCGAGAAGTTGATCACCTCAAAGTTGTGTGCCGCGGTGATGCCTTGTGTTAGGCAACTCGACGACGTCGTCACTGCCACTGGCAGCGATTTGCCGTTCACCGATGGGACGGCACAGACGTTTGTCATTGTGCAAGATTGAAGGTCGATCGGAGGCAACGCAGGGGAGCAATAACATTAATCAACAAAATGGAGTACATATATACACACACCAGCGCACCTCTGGCCGTCTTATATAAAACTAGGGCTCGGATGCCGACAGGGATCCGAACTATGACTAGGAGTCCAAAACAGCTAAAGCTGAGAAAATAACTTGGGGAAAGGTTTTGACTTGGATTCGGTTTCTCCCCAATTCCCCCGAATCACTTTTTGTGAATCAATTGGGCTTGTAGTTTTTGGATTCTTTATAATGGCCCGTTTAGGATGTAGAAAAAGAATTATATTCCTGTGTTTTCCCAATAAAATTAAACTAATTCATGTGAAATTTTTATACGATTTGTGTGAAATTCCTGCGTTGCAAATAGACCCCGATGCCCTCAACAGTCACAATGGTATTTATACATGCTTGAGGATTCAAACATGATGACTGAAGAGAGACTACATACATAACTTGTCAATGATTATCAAAATGTATTTTGAAAACAATGCATCCATAACCAAGATGGATAAAATTGTTTGACTCCTCATAAAACGAGAATTGCATTCTTTTTAGATTGACGGAGGAGTATGTTCGTTTGAAACTATTGCTTACTTTAGCTTTGTCCTAAGTCAAAATTTCCTAAGTTCTGACTAAGTTTTTAGAAGACCATATTGGCATATACAAATTCAAATAAATACACTATTAAGACATAATCCATAGAAAAAATTGATGATTTTTTTTTTGATATTCCAGACAAAATTTAATGAAATTATCTTTCTATTCTTTGATATGTTTAATTGTGTCACTTATCTTTAACTATGGCTCCTATATCTTTAAAAACTACTTCTAGGAACCCTGATCTCTTTCAACAGTGATGGGCGCTAGAGTGCTATAGGGCGTTTCCCTCCTATGGTCTAGGCGGGGCATGTACTGATACTCGGTATCTATACCCTGACTTTCCATGATACTCGCACCGTCCCATTATATGTGACGTTTTACCTCTGTATCAAGTACATCAAAGATTCTTTGAATCTGTACATGGGTTCTGTCTACATGCATGGAGCTTTGAATGAATCTGGACCTCCAAATGAGCTGCCAGAACGTCAAATAAAGTGGGACAGAGGGAGTATACATTTCTTAGTTTTTCTTGCTTTTGGTTATAGTACGGATCCCTGAAGAGAAGTATTCAAAGCAGTTGTTGCCATAAATCTACCGGATGTGCTCTTCCCATGGGGACATCATTATTGCCCTCCATGTCCTCTCTCTCCTACTCAACCCCATAGATTTTCCTGGCTCGTGCCATCACCCTCCTACTTGCCTATGCTGCCGTTAGGGCTAGACTAGAGGTGACCTAGCATGCCAGCATATATATGCCACCTCAACCAGAGGTAGGAAGACAGAAAGGGAGGGGGTGTTTGACTCACAAGACGGTGGCTAACGGATTTCTTATTTTATTCATATCCATCCCTCTAACCAAACAACAATATTGAATCTTTCCATCACTAACCAAACACAGACATAGAATATCACATGCTAATAAAAACACAGATGGATTTGTCCAATTTTGTCTCACTTTGCAATCAAATTACCCTTATAAACTTGAATGACACCCGACCAAACGGACCCAAACTTTAATGACAGCTGGTACTTGATTGGAACATGATGAAAAGGGACCAAAAACCCTAATCCCAAACTCCAAATAAATAGCCTTAAAATTCTACTCCTAAAACTCTAAACCCTAAACAAGGAACATAAACTTCCTAAGAACTTCTGTAGTGCGAGAGCTGAAATCACAGCACTCGATCGAGACTACTCGCTTATGCTTCGGCGACGATCTTGTCTAATATCTCCACTGCTATCAAAGGGCAACTTGCCACGAGATGCTTGAATCCCTGTCTTCATGACAACAGCAAGCACATCTCGGGAGGCAATAAATCTGAGGCAGGCGACTTTGAGACGGGCGAAGTGGTGCTGATCTGCTAGAGCAAGGGTGGTGGCAACCGTCTGCGCATCGATGCCGTGACACAAGCTGGCCTCGCACATTAGCCTCAGCCTGTCTAGCCCATATCGGTCCGCGGCAACCAGCAAGTGTTGCATGGACGCAGTTTTGTCGTCGTCATCGTCACCGTTCTTACTGTCTGATAAGATTGGATCTGTGTATATGAAGTGAAGAAGCTGCTCGAAGATGGAGGCGGGCTTTACTCCCGGTGGGAAACCCCCTCTAGTCCCGGTTCCCCACCCGGGAGCAAGCATCCGAGACTAAAGAGGGTCTTTTAGTCCCGGGTCAGGAATTAGTCCCGGTGGGTAACACCAACCGGGACTAAAGGTCCTCCTAGCTTTAAAAAAAATAATGTCTCCCACCGCTGCGTCCCGTGAGATTCGAACCCAAGACCTCATGCATTGCCTCACGCGTAGCTTACCAACCCACCTACATAACACATATAACAATGGATGGGATGCTTCCCTTTTGAACTAACCCATCGGGGGACCTTTAGTCCCGGTTAGTGTTACCAACCGGGACTAAAGGGTCCTTTAGTCCGGGTTAGTGTTACCAACCGGGATTAAAGGGTCTACTTTTAGTCCCGGTTGGTGGCTCCAACCGAGAGTAAAGGTCCACCTTTAGTCCTGGTTGGTGTCTCCAACCGGAACTAAAGGTCCCCTGCCACTGTGCCGAGCGCAGTAGCCGTTGGGCAGGGACCTTTAGTCCCGGTTGGAGACACCAACTGGGACTAAAGGTCTCTTTAGTCCCGGGCGCAAAAAATGCCAAGGCTAGAGCCAATTTTAATCTCGGATGAAAGGTCTGTTCTCTACTAGTAAGAGCTCCATGTCAGCAATTTTGATGGGCTCTGCCGTGGCCTTCTCCTTCATGGGACAGAAGAGCTCTGCTTCAAACACCGGAGACCGTGCAGCAAGAACACATCTGTGGGCATGGAACAGATGGCCATTGACCTCGAACATCACGTCCGTGCCCTTCCCAGTCTTCAACATGTGCTCGAAGTGCTGGTGCATGTTTGGCTCGGGAAACTCCTCCGTGATGGTGGCTGCTGCGGGTACCTCGTCCTCAGATTGAGATTCGCCGATGACAGTCAGGGCACACCTGATCGTGAAGCGGTCGTTGTTGAGGCGCAGCAGTGGTTTTAGCTTGGATTTCGTGAAGCGGTCGTTGTTGAGGCGCAGCAGTGGATTTCTCTACGAACTTGGCGAAACCCCACTTAGAATCTGCTGCCTCGAAGGTATGTGATACCACGACGGAGGAGCACCTTGTTAGTTCAGATACTTTGCCGTCTTTCTGCAGTAATTCCAGAGTGTACTTGGTCCTAGTCTTGGTATTCTTTGGTCCGTCGACCAAATACAAGAACGCCGACACGTACTCAGCCTTGTCCTCCTCCTTCAACCCGTCGGGATAGACCCAGATGTTCCAGCCACGACCGCCGGCGCGGAAGGTCCTGGAGCTCACGAATCTGCCAGCGCCCATGCCTTCCAGCAGCGAGAAACTCGTCACCTCGAAACTGTGGACTGCTTGGACGCTCGCCGTCATGCACCTCGAGCTCGAGGTCTCGTCGTCTCGACTAGGCGCTTAGGGTCGATCGATTTGGTGGTGCCCTCTTACTCGTCAGACGCGATGTGGCCGATGAGCACAAAAGATGTGTTGGAAATAAAGATACGTATGGTTAGAGATAATTGGAGACAAACAAACTCTAGAGATAAAAATGGAATAAGATTAGATCTAGTATAACTTAGCTTCACTAGTAGAGAACAGACATTTAATTCTCAACCAAAATAGGCTCTAGTCCCAGCATTTTTTTGTGCCCGGGACTAGAGAGACCTTTAGTCCTGGTTGGTGGATCCAACCGGGACTAAAGGTTCCTGTGGCAGGGACCTTTAGTCCCTGTTGGAGCCACCAACCGGGACTAAAGGTTTACTCCCGGTTGGTGGCTCCAACCGGGAGTAAAGGTCTACTCCTGGGCCGTGGCTGCGCCGGGGGTTGGAAAGTTATCTTTAGTCCCAGTTGGATCCACCAATCGGGACTAAAGGTCCCCCTTTATATCCTGGCCGTCTTCTTCTTTCTCCCTGAGCCCGAGCTCAGCACATTTTGAAGCTCACTGCACTAGTGTTCTTGCTTCCTCCCTCCATTGTTTCTCCATCCATTCTTCGATTCCTCTGTCGATTCTTCAGTTGTAAAGGTTATCAATCTCGTACTCTCATTTTTCATCATTGGCTTATCTCATATTGTTCACTATATATATATTGTTTTATGGTGTTTTTTGTATTTGTAAACAATTTAAGCTCAAAATAACTTATAGTTTGCATATTTGGATGAAGAAAGGTTAAAGTAGGTATTTAAAATTAGTATTCACTTTTTATTTCTAGAATGCATAGCACATTCATTGTTTAGATATATAGATAATTTTATAGTTTCTTAATTTTATTTGTTTATAAAATGAGAAATTTATAGTGTATTAAAAAATGAGTATAGAGAGTAGATGGCAACTACTGCTTTCAGGTCCTCGGCCTCTCATGGGTTTCCAAAGCGACTTAGGCCGAGCCTCCCTCTCATTCCATGCAGCAAGTGTCGTGATGAGACGAAGATTGTGATGGAGTACTGAATGAAGAAGAAGGGTCCCAACAAGGGTCGTATCTTCTACAAGTGTCCGGATCACAATATGAGTTATTTTATCATATTTTATGATTATGGTTAGTTTATACCTATTTTCATGATGGTTGTGATTAAAGTTCTAATTTTTTATTTTAATTTCAGTGGGATGGCAGTGGACGATGTTTAGGCTTCTACTGGAATGAAGAGTATGTTGAACTCGTGCAAAAATATCTTGCACAACAGGCAGATACGGCGGCTAATGAAGCAGTGATCCAGCCGAAGAAGCCCAAAGATGTTGCATAATCGGGGGATCTGTCTGTTTTAGTTGAGATTGGTCGCGAAATCCTTGTGCTCCTGAAATATATTTTAGCTTTAGTTCTTTTAGTGGTAGTT